CCGTGGAAAAAATCCATGGATTAATTTCGGATAAAAACTTGGAATTTTGGGGTTTTTTAAGTGCTTTTATTCCTAAAATTCAATCCTATAAGGCTGAATCCTTTAGGAATTGGAAGAATTAAATTCTCCAAGAGTTTAAATCTATTTAAATATAAATAAAAAATAAAATTTGGGAGTAAATAAATGGAAAAAAACCTATGTATTAGTTCAGGAAATTCTTGGATTTTTGGTTTTTTTAGTGCTTTCATCCCTAAAATTCAGTCCTAAAATACCAAATCCTTTAGGATTTGGAAAAGATCCCAAGACTTACCAAACTTCTGCAGGAGATGCTCAAAGTTGGGTTTCCCATCCCACGTCACCCAGTTCTTCCTGCTGCCCCAATCCTCGGTGAACTTGGCTGAGAAAATGCAGGGATGGTTGGGAATGAGATAATCCCGGAAAAAATCGGAATAAGTGAAAGAATCGACTTTGTCAATAAAATCCACGTGGCCCCCGGGGAGAGCACCCGGAGAAGAATTCCCAAAATCCCGGAAAAAAGCGGTGGAACAGGCAAAGGTTGCTCTGTCCATGCAGGCTGCGAAAAATTCCTGGCCGAGCCAAGGAATTTGGAGAAATAATCCCAAAAACAAAATCCCTGCTAAAAATGGGATTTGAGGATTTAAAAGTGTGGGAAATCATGGGGAGATTGAGGGGGAATGAGTGTTGGGATAATTTGGGTTTTCCATGGTTTTTGGGATAGCTGGGAAATGGATTTTTTTAATGGATGTTTCTTCCTCTTGTCAGAGCTGGTTCAGTCCTAAAAAAACAGGAAAAGAAAATTTCAGTGAGGTATTTCCAAGGAATTAATAAATTGAAGGGGTGGAGGAAAAGAAATTCCTGAAATATTTGGGAATGCTCTGGGATCTTCCCTTTCTTTCCAGGTCTGGCACCTCCCATTTCCTACAGAGTTTTCCCCAAGGATTTTGAACAATGGCAGGATAAAAATGGGGAAAAAATGGAAAAAAAATAAAAAAAAAAGAGGGAAGGAGGAGGCTGAGCACAGAAGGAATGAAGCAAAGAGGCTGCAGGGTTGGGATTTGGGAAACACTGAGGGAAAAGGGGATTTAGGGATCTCCATGAGGGAATTCCTCCCTCACGGAGATCTAAAGGAATATTGAGATTAAGGAACGTCCACGAGGGAATTTTCCCTCAGAAATCTCCAAGGGAGTATTGGATTTATGGGACATCCATGAGGGAATTGCTCCCTCAGAGATCTCCAAGGGATATGGCAGTGGAATGAAAGGATTTCCATGAGGGAATTCTCCCCTCATGGAGCTCGAAGGGGATATTGGAATGAAGGGAAATCCATGAGGGAATTCCTCCCTCAGAGATTTCCTTGGGAATAACAGGACTAAGGAACATCCATGGGGAAATTTCCCCCTCACACATCTCCAAGGGAATGTCAGAATTACGGGACATCCATGAGGGAATTCCTCCCTCAGAGATCTCCAAGGGAATGTCAGAATTAAGGGAAATCCATGAGGGAATTCCTCCCTCAGAAATCTCCAAGGGAATGTCAGAATTAAGGGAAATCCATGAGGGAATTCCTCCATCAGAGATCTCCAAGGGAATGTCAGAATTAAGGGAAATCCATGAGGGAATTCCTCCCTCAGAAATCTCCAAGGGAATGTCAGAATTAAGGGAAATCCATGAGGGAATTCCTCCCTCAGAAATCTCCAAGGGAATATCAGAATTAAGGGAAATCCATGAGGGAATTCCTCCATCAGAGATCTCCAAGGGAATGTCAGAATTAAGGGAAATCCATGAGGGAATTCCTCCCTCAGAGATCTCCAAGGGAATGTCAGAATTAAGGGAAATCCATGAGGGAATTCCCCCCTCAGGGCACTCCAAGGAAACGCTGGGATATCACAGTGGGATTAAAGGATTTCCATGTGGGAATTCCTCCCTCAGAAATCTCCAAGGGAACACCGGGATTGAGGGACATCCATGAGGGAATTTTCCTTCACAGAGCTCTAAGGGAACACCAGGATACGGCAGTGGGATTAAAGGATTTCTGTGCGGGAATTCTCCCCTCATAGAGCTCCAAAGGAATATCAAAATTAAGCAACATCCATGAGGGAATTTTCCTTCACAAAGCTCCAATGGAACACCAGGATATGGCAGTGGGATTAAAGGATTTCTGTGAGGGAATTCTCCCCTCATAGAGCTCCAAAGGAATATCAAAATTAAGCAACATCCATGAGGGAATTTTCCCTCAGAGATCTCCAAGGGAATATCAGAATGAAAGGAAATCCATGAGGGAATTCCTCCCTCACAGAGCTCCAAGGGATATGGCAGTGGGATTAAAGGATTTCCATGAGGGAATTCCTCCCTCACAGAGCTCCAAGGGAATATCAAATCCAAGGGACATCCAGGAGGGAATTTTCCCTGTGAGATCTCTAAGGGAACACCAGGATATGGCAGTGGGATTGAAGCATTTCCATGAGGGAATTCTCCCCTCACAGAGCTCCAAGGGACTATGGAAATTATGGGACACCAATGAGGGAATTCCTCCCTCACAGATCTCCAAGGGATATGGCAGTGGGATTAAAGCAATTCCATGAGGGAATTCCTCCCTCAGAGGTCTCCAAGGGAACACTGGGATTAAGAAACATCCATGAGGGAATTCCTCTCTCACAGAGCGACAAGGGAATATCAAAATTAAAGAACATCCATGAAGAAATTCCCCCCTCAGAGACCTCCAAGGGAATATAGGAATGAAGGGAAATCCATAAGGGAATTCATCCCTCACAGAGTGCCAAGGGAATATCAGAATTAAGGGAAATCCATGAGGGAATTCCTGCCTCAGGGCACTCCAAGGAAACGCTGGGATAACACAGTGGGAATAAAGGATTTCCATGTGGGAATTCCTCCCTCAGAAATTTCCAAGGGAACATTGGGATTGAGGGACATCCATGAGGGAATTTTCCTTCACAAAGCTCCAATGGAACACCAGGATATGGCAGTGGGATTAAAGAATTTCTGTGCGGGAATTCTCCCCTCATAGAGCTCCAAAGGAATATCAAAATTAAGCAATATCCATGAGGGAATTTTCCCTCAGAGATCTCCAAGGGAATATCAGAATGAAAGGAAATCCATGAGGGAATTCCTCCCTCACAGAGCTCCAAGGGATATGGCAGTGGGATTAAAGGATTTCCATGAGGGAATTCCTCCCTCACAGAGCTCCAAGGGAATATCAAATCCAAGGGACATCCAGGAGAGAATTTTCCCTCTGAGATCTCTAAGGGAACACCAGGATATGGCAGTGGGATTGAAGCATTTCCATGAGGGAATTCTCCCCTCACAGAGCTCCAAGGGACTATGGAAATTATGGGACACCAATGAGGGAATTCCTCCCTCACAGATCTCCAAGGGATATGGCAGTGGGATTAAAGCAATTCCATGAGGGAATTCCTCCCTCAGAGGTCTCCAAGGGAACACTGGGATTAAGAAACATCCATGAGGGAATTCCTCTCTCACAGGGCGACCAGGGAATATCAAAATTAAAGAACATCCATGAAGAAATTCCCCCCTCAGAGACCTCCAAGGGAATATAGGAATGAAGGGAAATCCATAAGGGAATTCATCCCTCACAGAGTGCCAAGGGAATATCAGAATTAAGGGAAATCCATGAGGGAATTCCTGCCTCAGGGCACTCCAAGGAAACGCTGGGATAACACAGTGGGAATAAAGGATTTCCATGTGGGAATTCCTCCCTCAGAAATTTCCAAGGGAACATTGGGATTGAGGGACATCCATGAGGGAATTTTCCTTCACAAAGCTCCAATGGAACACCAGGATATGGCAGTGGGATTAAAGAATTTCTGTGCGGGAATTCTCCCCTCATAGAGCTCCAAAGGAATATCAAAATTAAGCAATATCCATGAGGGAATTTTCCCTCAGAGATCTCCAAGGGAATATCAGAATGAAAGGAAATCCATGAGGGAATTCTTCCCTCACAGAGCTCCAAGGGATAAGGCAGTGGGATTAAAGGATTTCCATGAGGGAATTCATCCCTCAGAAATCTCCAAGAGAACATTGGGATTAAGTGAAATTCATGAGGGAATTTTCCTTCACAGAGCTCCAAGAGAATATTGGAATGAAGGGAAATCCATGAGGGCATTCCTCGTTTACAGAGCTCCAGTGGACCACTGCGATTAAGGAACATCCATGAGGGAATTCCCCCTTTACAGAGCTCCAAGGGAATATGGGAATTATGGGACATAATGAGGGGAAATCCTCCCTCACACATCTCCAAGGGAATATCAGAATTAAGAGACATCCATGAGGCAATTCCTTCCTCAGGGAACACTCGCTAAGGGAACACCGAGATTAGGGAACCTCCATGAGGGAATTCCCCTCTCAGAGATCTCCATGGGAACACTGGGATTAGGGAACCTCCATGAGGGAATTCCCCCCTCACAGATCTCCATGGGAACACCGGGATTAGGGAACCTCCATGAGGGAATTCCTCTCTCGGAGATCTCCATGGGAACACCGGGATTAGGGAACCTCCATGAGGGAATTTCCCCCTCACAGATCTCTATGGGAACACCGGGATTAGGGAACCTCCATCAGGGAATTCCCCCCTCAGAGAACACCGGGATTAGGGAACCTCCATGAGGGAATCCCCCCACGGCCATCCCCAGTGTTGGGGGGAGGACCCGGACACCACAGGGCGTCGCACACGCCATGCCTCGCCCTCCCGTCCAGCCCGCACCGTCGCTGCCCGCAGGAACCGGGAGCACCCCGAGGGGAGCCACACTCACCCCCGCTCCCCTCGGGGCAGCCCCGCGGCGCGAATGGCGGCGTCGGCGGCGACAATGAAAGCCTATGGCGGGCGCTGCCGGAACCTCTGCGTCGAGCGGGTGGGGGCCGGAGGGGAGGCGAAAAGCGGAGCGCAGCGGGGCAGGGCTCAGCCAATAGGAACGCTCAGATGCGCGGGGCTCAGCCAATGAGAGCGCGCGGAGGGCGCAGGCGCGGAGCGGGGCCGGTGCCGCACTGAGGGAGGTGCGTGGGGAGCCGGGGGGGCTCGGACGGGTCCGGGGGGCTCCAAATGGGGCGGGAGGGGCTGGACCGGGAGCTTGGGGCTGGAAATGGGGCTGGGGGGGACACAAACTGGGGCTTGGGAGGGCTCCGGACAGGGAATGGGGGGCTCCGATCCATGGCCGCGGTGGTGTCGGACCGGGACCGGGGGGATCCGGATGGGGCTGGAGGGACTGAAAATGGCGCCGGCGGGGCTGGTGGTGGGGTTTGAGGTTGGGAATGGGGCTGGGAGATTGGAAATGGGGCTTGGGGGTCACAACTGGGACTTGGGGGGGCTCCGATCCGTGGCCGCGGTGGTGCCGGACCGGGGCAGGGAGGTCCGGATGGGGCTGGAGGGACTGGAAATGGCGCGGGAGGGTCTCCAGGTGGAGCTTGGGGTCGGAAATGGGGCTGGGGCGCCACAAACTGGGGCTTGGGAGGGCTCCGATCCATGGCCGCGGTGGTGCCGGACCGTGAGTGGGGGATCCGGATGGGGCGGGAGAAGCTCGAGGTGGAGCTTGGGGTTGGAAATGGGGTGGGGGGGGTCACAACTTGGGGCTTGGGGAGGGCTCCGGACAGGGATTGGGGGCTCCGATCCATGGCCGCGGTGGTGTCGGACTGAGGATGTCCGGCTGGGCCTGGGGAGACTCGAAATACGGCCGGAGGGGCTGGAGATGGAGACGGATTGAAATTGGGGCTGGGGGAGTCAGAGCTTGGGGGGGGGCTCCACTCCGTGGTCCCGTGGTTTTGGACCGGGAATGTCTGGATGGGGCTGGAGGGACTCGAAATGCGGCGGGAGAAGCTCGAGGTGGAGCTTGGGGTTGAAATTGGGGCTGGGAGGGCACAACTTGGGCTTGGGGAGCGGCTCCGATCCGTGCTCGGTGTGGTCTCGGACCGGGACCGGGAGTGTCCGGCTGGGCCTGGGGAGACTCGAAATGCGGCGGGAGGGGCTGGAGGTGGAGACGGATTGAAATTGGGGCTGAGGAGTCACAAATTTGGGCTTGGGGGGCTCCGGGTGGGCCCGGGGAGACTCGAGGTGGAGCTTGGGGCTGGAAATGGGACTGAGGTGTCAGAAGTTGGGGTCTGGGGGGAAACTCTGATCTGTGGTCGCTGTGGTCTCTGACCGGGACCGGGGAGCCTGGATGGGGCGGGAGGGACTGGAATTGGCACGGGAGGGACTGGAATTGGCACGGGAGGGGCTCCGAGTGGAGTGGGAAGGGCTCGAGGTGGAGCTTGGGTTTGGAAATGGCGCTTGGGGGGAGGCTCCGATCCATGCTCGGTGTGTTGGACCGGGCCTGGCGGATTTTGTGGGGATTTGGGGCGCGCTCAAACCGGGGCTGGGGCGGGTTTTGTGTGGGGACTTGGGGCGCGCTCAAACCGGGGCTGGGGCGGGTTTTGTGTGGGGACTAGGGGCGGGTTTTGTGTGGGGACTTGGGGCGGGTTTGGTGTGGGGATTTGGGGCGCGCTCAAACCGGGGCTGGGGCGGGTTTTGTGTGGGGACTTGGGGCGGCGCTCAAACCGGGGCTGAGGCGGGTTTTGTGTGGGGACTTGGGGCGGGTTTGGTGTCGGGGCTTGGGGCGCGCTCAAACCGGGGTTGGGGCGGGTTTTGTGTGGGGACTTGGGGCCGTTTTTATGTCGGAACTTGAGGCGGGTTTTGTGTCAGGGCTTGTCGTGGGCTCGAACGGGGCTGGGGCGGTTCCACACCGGGGAGCGACGGCGGCTCCGAGGCGGGCCTTGCAGAGGGGGCCGGGAACGGAGGGGCTCGGGATGGGGCTGGGGAGGCTCCGTGAGGTGGATCCTGGGCTGAGCTGGCACCGAGGGAAGGCTCGAGAGGAGTCGGGATTTGGGGAGGGAATTGATGGACAGGGAAGGGAGCTGGGTGAGGGGATTGGGGGAGATCAGTAAATTCCTGGGTAACTGTGGGAGTGAAGGGGGGTAGGACGGTGGGGATGGACAGACACAGAGATCTCTGCTGGAACTTTGGGGTTTATTGCAGAGGGCCTGGGTGCAGGGCCCTGCTGGGATTTGGGGTTTATTACAAAGGGCCTGGGTGCAGGGCCCTGCTGGGATTTGGGGTTTATTGCAGAGGGCCTGGGTGCAGGGCCCTGCTGGGATTTGGGGTTTATTGCACAGGGCCTGGGTGCAGGGCCCTGCTGGGATTTGGGTTTATTGCAAAGGGCCTGGGTGCAGGGCCCTGCTGGGATTTGGGGTTTATTGCACAGGGCCTGGGTGCAGGGCCCTGCTGGGATTTGGGGTTTATTGCAAAGGGCCTGGGTGCAGGGCCCTGCTGGGATTTGGGGTTTATTGCAAAGGGCCTGGGTGCAGGGGCCTGCTGGGATTTGGGGTTTATTGCAAAGGGCCTGGGTGCAGGGCCCTGCTGGGATTTGGGGTTTATTGCACAGGGCCTGGGTGCAGGGCCCTGCTGGGATTTGGGGTTTATTGCACAGGGCCTGGGTGCAGGGGCCTGCTGGGATTTGGGGTTTATTGCAAAGGGCCTGGGTGCAGGGCCCTGCTGGGATTTGGGGTTTATTGCACAGGGCCTGGGTGCAGGGCCCTGCTGGCATTTGGGGTTTATTGCACAGGGCCTGGGTGCAGGGCCCTGCTGGGATTTGGGGTTTATTGCAAAGGGCCTGGGTGCAGGGCCCTGCTGGGATTTGGGGTTTATTGCACAGGGCCTGGGTGCAGGGCCCTGCTGGGAGCTGCAGCCACAGCTCAGAGCAGGCCTGAGAGGAGAGAGGGGGAGAGAGGATGAGAGAGAGAGAGTAAAAGAGGATGAGAGAGTGAGATTTCTATTACAATACAATAAATCTTCTTCTGTGTTGAATATTCTAATTCTCACCAATCTAATACAAGCTACAAATCCTACAGCATTTCCATACAGCCTGTAAGAATCATTACATTACTGTGTTAAGGTATTTTCTTTGAGCCAGGTCTAATGAGCTTTAGGAGGTCTATACCACACCCAAGGCAGCTCAGCTACCTTTGGAGGCATGAAAATCAGCAGGATGGCTTCTGTTGCAGTGTTGGAAACAAAAAGGTTTAATAAAAGGCAAGATAACAAACAGAGAAAAACCGAGCCAGGTGCAAGAGGTTCTTGTGTGATGGTGCTCACAGGGGTCCGAGGATGAGGGAAGAGAGGAGGATCTGACTCCATGTTTCAGAAGGCTGATTTATTATTTTATGATATATATTACATTAAAACTATACTAAAAGAATAGAAGAAAGGATTTCATCAGAAGGCTGGCTAAGAATAGAATAGCAAAGAATGATAACAAAGGCTTGTAGCTCTCTGTCCAAGCCAGCTGATTGTGATTGGCCATTAATTAGAAACAACCACATGAGCCCAATCCCAGATGCGCCTGTTGCATTCCACAGCAGCAGATAATCATTGTTTACATTTTGTTCCTGAGGCCTCCCAGCTTCTCAGGAGGACAAATCCTAAGGAAAGGATTCTTCATAAAGCGTGTCTGTGACACACATTCCTACATTCCCACACTGTGTTACATTTTAAACCCTAAAATCTCCTCTTTGGGCCCTTCTGCCAAGCTGCAGGGTCTGCTCTGCCCCTTGGGCCTGTCTGCAAGCAGAGGGTGTTGTTCCATCAAAAGGGGATCACCTTCAGCCGGCCACACCATTGTTGTCCCATTGTTCAGTAGCTGAGGGATCTCAAAGCTTGATTTCATTTCAATCTCACTTACAGTTTCCATATTCTCAAACTCTTTCCCAGACACTGACATTGATAATTTTCCTGTTTGATCTTGCCCAGCAGATAACGCTGAGCTGGGCTGGGGATCCTGAGGGAGCTGGGAATGCTCAGCCTGAGGAAAAGGAGGCTCAGGGAGAACTTCTGGGCTCTGGCTCTGCTGCCAGGGAACAGGGACAGGAGCAGAGGGAGGTTTTGGTTGGATATTGGGAAAATTCCCTCGTGTGATTGCCTGGCAAAAGATTTTGGGAATATGGAAACTGTGAGTGAGATTGAAATGAAATCAAGGCTTGAGATCCCTCAGTTACTGAACAACAGGAAAACAGTGGTGTGGCCATTGAGGGTGATCCCCTTTGGATGGAACAACACCCTCTGCTGAGAATTCCAGAGGGTGGAAGCGTCCAAGGTCAGCTTGGATCCACCTGGGATAGTGGGGGATCCATTAATGGGATCGTCCTTGAGGTCCCTCCCAACCCAAACCTTTGGAATTCTCTGTTCCATTGGGGTGTGAGGAGGAGAACTCCTGGATATTGGGAAAATTCCATTCCAAAATCCATTAATGGGGTCGTCCTTGAGGTCCCTCCCAGCCCAAACCTTTGGAATTCTCTGTTCCATTGGGGTGTGAGGAGGAAAACTCCTGGGAATGGGATGGGAATCCTTGGCAGGAGGGAGGAATTCCAGCTTGGGAATTCTGAGGGAGCAGAAGTGAGGCTTGGGAATGAAGGAGTGAGGTCAGGCCTGGAGGCTTCACATCTTAGAAGATCCTAAATTTGGGATTTGGGGATTTATTAATCCTGCAATTGAGTCTTAATTAGAAAAAGAGGAAGAGTGACAGGATATGATTTATAAACTCATTTCTTGAGTGTGGCTCCCAGGAGTTTTAGTCTCAGCATTTCCCAGATTTATTTCTGGGATTAAACCACCCTGTGGAATTCTCAGCTCTGCAGGAGGAGAGAATAAAAATGAACAATAAAAAGTGCAGGAATGTTCTGGCCAGCATTCCCAAAAAAAAACCTGGGAATGGAATGTTGATGGCAACATCACCCAGGGATGGTGCCGGCTCCTCCCCATAATTAACTAATGAGTAACGCTCCTGCTTAATTGGGTGATCTCAGCAAAGGTGAATCAGCTCCTTTTTATGGAAACAACCGCTGGGTGATGTCCAGGGAAAGAATTCCTGCAGAATCCCCGTGACACTGCTGGATCCCAAATCCTCATCTCCCTGCTGCTGCTCCGGGCCTTGCTGGGCATGGGGGCAGGATTTGGGGGCAGATGAGGCCAAAAATCCGATTATTCCCTCAAAAAAATGTGGATTATATTGAGATTTCTTGGAGAATATTGACAAATCCCAGAGAATACTGGGAATTCCTGGAGAATATTGGGAATTGGTGGGGAATACTGAGATTTCCTGGAGAATAATGGGATTTCCTGGAGAACACTGGGAATTTGTGAGGAATACTGGGAATTCCTGGAGAATATTGGGAATTTGCAGAGAATACTGGGAATTGCTGGGGAATATTGACAAATCCTTGAGAATATTGGGATGTCCTGGGGGATACTGGGAATTTGTGAGGAATACTGGGAATTGCTGGGGAATACTGGGATTTCCTGAAGAACACTGGGAATTCATGAGGAGTACTGGGAATTCCTGGAGAATATTGGGAATTTGCAGAGAATACTGGGAATTACTGGGGAATACTGGGATTTCCTGGAGATTATTCACAAATCCTGGGGAATACTGGGAATTCGTGGGGAATACTGGGAATTTGTGGAGAAATCTGGGATTTCCTGGGGAATATTGACAAATCCTTGAGAATATTGGGATTTCCTGGGGGAATACTGGGAATTCATGAGGAATACTGGGAATTCCTGGAGAATATTGGGAATTTGCAGAGAATACTGGGAATTGCTGGGGAGTATTGACAAATCCTTGAGAATACTGGAATTTCCTATGGAATACTGGGAATTTGCAGAGAATAGTGCCAATTGCTGGGAAATATTGGGATTTCCTGGAGAATACTGGGAATTGCTGGGGAATACTGGGATTTCCTGGGGATTATTGACAAATCCTGGGGAATATTGACAATTTCTAGGGAATTCTGGGAATTCGTGAGGAACGTTGACAGTTCCTGGGGAATATTGAATTTAATAAAATAAAAGAAATAAAAAACTCCTGGAGAATTCCTGCAGTGTGTTTAACGTGCCTGGGTGTTGAGATGCCAGAGGGGAAGGGGAAGGAGCAGGGATTTATAAATATGGATGAGCTGGAATTTTGGGATATCCGGGATTTTCCTCAGTGCCTGTTGATCTGTAGGAAGCTGAGGATGAGCTGGGAGTGGGAATTTTCCAGGATATGAATGAAATTCTTGGGAAAATGCGTGGCCGGTGATGCTGATGGGCTTTTCCAGATGAAATCTGGAATTTTGGGGTATCCTGGATTTTCCTCAGTGCCTGTTGGTCTGTGGGAAGCTCAGGATGAGCTGGAAATGGGAATATTCCAGAATATAGATAGAATTATTGGGAACATGGGGTGGTCAGGGATGTTGACAGGCCTTTCCAAAGGAAATCTTGAATTTGGGATATTTGGGATTTTCCTTGGTGCCTCTTGATCAATGGGAAGCTGAGGATGAGCTTGGATGGGAATTTTCCAGGATATGGATGGAATTCTTTTGAAAATGCATGGCCAGTGATGCTGATGTGCTTTTCCTGAGAAAATCTGGAATTTTGGGATATCCGGGATTTTCCTCAGTGCCTGTTGATCTGTAGGAAGCTGAGGATGAGCTGGGAGTGGGAATTTTCCAGGATATGAATGAAATTCTTGGGAAAATGCGTGGCCGGTGATGCTGATGGGCTTTTCCAGAGGAAATCTGGAATTTTGGGGTATCCTGGATTTTCCTCAGTGTCTGTTGGTCTGTGGGAAGTGAAGGATGAGCTGGGAGTGGGAAATATTCCATTACATGAATGGAATTCTTGGGAAAATGCCTGGCCAGTGATGTTAATGTGCTTTTCCAGAGGAAATCTGGAATTTTGGGATATCTGAGTTTTTCCTCAGTGCCTGTTGATCTGTGGGAAGATGAGGTAAGGTAGGAATGGGAATTTTGCAAGATATGAATGGAATTCTTGGGAAAATGCATGGCCGGTGATGCTGATGGGCTTTTCCAGAGGAAATCTGGAATTTTGGGATATCCTGGATTTCCCTTAGTATTTGCTGGTCTGTGGGAAGCTGAGGATGAGCTGGGGGTTGGAATATTCCAGGATATGGATGGAATTCTTGGGAAAATGCATGGCCAGTGATGCTGATGTGCTTTTCCTGAGAAAATCTGGAATTTTGGGATATCTGGGATTTTCCTCAGTGCCTGTTGGTCTGTGGGAAGCTGAGATGAGCTGGAAATGGGAATATTCCAGGATATGAATGAAATTCTTGGGAAAATTGTGTGGCCAGTGATGTTGATGGGCTTTTCCAGAGGAAATCTGGAATCTTGGGATATTTTGGATTTTCTTCATGGCCTGTTGGTCTGTGGGAAGCCGAGGTAAGAGCAATGGGAATATTCCAGGGTATCAATGTAATTCTTGGGAAGATGCATGATGGGCTTTTCCAGAGCGAATATTCCTGTGGTTAGAAACGTTTCCCAAATTCCTTGGATATCCAGCTGAAAGGAGCCAGGATTAAGTCGTGTGCGTTTATTCGGGATTCCTGCTTTTCCCCCTGGATTTCAGTGTCTGCGGCCGGGTTGGAGAGCGTTTCCCTGCGAGAGGAGGCCGGGCAGCGCGAGCTGATGAACGAGGACATCCGGATCCATTCCTGGCCTTGCTCCTACTACCTGGACGCCGGCAAACAATGGATCCCTGGGAAGCTCTCCCTGACTCCCGCTTCCATCAAATTCACGGCTGACAAAACGCGAGAGCTCCTGGTGGATTTCCGTCTTTCCGGCGTCAGCGAGATCAAGAAGGAATCTTCCCATTTGATCTTCAGCTCCCTCACCGTGCTGGAGAAAGGCACCAAGCACTGGTTCGGCTCCCTGCGCCCCAACAGGAACGTGGTGTTCAACATCCTGGAGCATTTCTGGAGGGAGCAGCTGCTGTCCGGCCAGGAGGGGGGAGCGGGAGCGGCCTCGGAGTCCAGCAAGGGCAAGGAATTGACGGGAATGTTGGAGGGCTCCCAGAAACGCCTGGAGGACACGGCCAAGGCGCTGCACGCCCAGGGGGAGCAGTTCGACAACATCATGAGGGGACTCCACAAGATCGAGGGGGACATGGATGTGGCTGACAGGTTTGCAAGGGGAGCGTTCCCACAGCTGGGAATGGGTTGGGGGGCCTGGAATTCGTGGGGGAGATCTTTGGGAAATGAAATTGGATTTTTCATTGGAATGGATGGAGCAGCTCCGTGAGGAAACACTGAGGGAGTTGGGAATGCTCAGCTGGAGAAGGGAAAAATCCAGGGAAGGCTCAGGGTCTGAGGGAGCTCCAGGAGAGCTGGAGAGGGACTGGGGACAAGGATGGAGGGACGGGACACAGGGAATGGCTCCCAGTGCCAGAGGGCAGGGATGGATGGGAGATTGGGAATTGGGAATTGCTGGCTGGGATGGAATTCCCAGAGCAGCTGAGGCTGCCCCTGGATCCCTGGCAGTGCCCAAGGCCAGGCTGGAGCACCCTGGGGCAGTGGGAATTCCCTGCCCATGGAATGGGATCATCCTTAGGATCCCTTCCAATCCAAGTCTGTGTGCCCATGGGCTCAGGGAATGTTGGGAATTCAGCTCTGGGAATTCAGGAGTGCCCCAATCTCCTTCCTCCTGCCTGTGCCCTGCTCCATAGGGATAAAATTGGGATAAGAGCAGGGTCTGCAGTGCCCGTTTCTGCTGCCATTCCTGGAAAATCCTGAGCTGTGCTGCTTCCTTCCCGCCTTTTCCTTCCCGCCATTTTTCCCTCGAGATTTTTTCCCCCGCTGTTTTTGTTTCCCTCTGTTTTTTCCCTTCCCTTCCCTTCCCTTCCCTTCCCTTCCCTTCCCTTCCCTTCCCTTCCCTTCCCATCCCATCCCATCCCATCTTCCTGCTCTTTTTTTTCTTTCCCACCCTTTTTCCCTCACCATTTTTTCCCCTCACTGTTTTTGTTTCCCTCTGTTTATTCCTTTCCCACCCTTTTTCCCCTCACCATTTTGTCCCTCATGATTTTCCCCCACCATTTTTGTTTCCCTCTGTTTTTTCCCTCCCTTTTTCCCTTCCCGCCCTTTTTTTCTTTCCCTCCCTTTTTCCCCCACAGCTTCCCTGGAAATCCTTTGCCTTGATTTTCTAGGAATATCCCCAAGCCTTTAAAACACTTCAGACTGAATGGGAAAGAAGCCAAAATTGGGAATTTTGGGCAAGCTCGTGGCAGGATTGGAATATCCAATATTCCAACAGCCAGGAAAGGCAGGAATTGTCAGGAATGGGAGCAGCCAGGGCTCCTGGGAATATTTGTGCCAAGTATTTCCTTATCTTGGAACCCTCTGGATAAAATTCCAGCAGGAGTGAGGGGAATGCAGCTCTGGAGCACGAGGAGAGGAGTGGGAAAGGACTCGGAGTGTGGGAAGGGACTTGGAATTCCACGGATTCAAGGGTGGCTGAACATTACCCAGCTCAGAGCTGCAGCAGGGAATTCCAGAGGGCTCTTCCCAGTTTGATTGAATTTATAGAACAGGGAATTCCTGGGAGTATCCCAAAGTTTTAAAGGACTTAAAACAGGGAATGAAAATGGGATTAAATTGGGATTTTAGGGATGATTGTTGTCAGTTTTCCCCTGAAAAAAAGGGGAATATTTTCCTTGTCCTTGGAGCAGGAGCTGAACCTGAACAGTTCCAGCCCTGGCTCCCTTCCCTGTTTGCTGGGAATGTTTTCCTTATGGAGCTGCTCCAACACTGATGGAAAGATGGGGTGTGGACACTTCTGGGAAGTTTCTGCTGGATTTTGGAGCTTCAAGCTGGAATTTTTAGTGTTTTATCTGGGAATTTGGGTCTGAAGCAAAGGAAAAGGCATCAGGCTGAGGGGGTGAAGAAAAAGGAGCAGGAAAAGCCTTGGAAGTGGTGATGGATGGACAGGAGTGGGAATATTGAGGAACAGACACGTGGAAATGGGTCTGGAAAAATCCACTTCCATTCCTTCCTTCCCAGCTGGGATTCTGGGGGTCTTTCCAGTGGATTATGAGGAGAAGGTGGGGTCTCAGCTGGAAGGGAATCCAGTATTCAGCTGAATATCCGATGTTCGATTTCCTGCATCCTGGGAAATTGTGGATGCGTTTGAGGAGGGATTAAGGAATTTCCGTGTCTCTGAGGATTTTCTTGGAACTGCTGGAATATCCAGAGCTTTTCCTTCTCCCGACCCTCCCTTCCCTCTTCCAGGCTGCTAACAGAGCTGGAATCTCCCTCCTGGTGGCCCTTCAGCACCAAACTCTGGAAATCCCCCGTGGAAGCGAAGCCCAAGGAAACCCCAGCGGCTCCCGATCCCAAAAGCCAGGAGGAAATCCTGCTGCGAATCCCGGCGATCATCACCCACAGGACAGACTCCAGCGCCAAACCCGGCAAACTCACGGTGCTCCCCTCGGGCCTGGAGATCCAGGATTGCAATTCCCAGCTCCTGCACCGCTTCGAGGCGCGGGACGTGGACGACATCTGGGTGCACACCCCGTACGAGATCAGCGTGCGGCAGCGGTTCATCGGCAAACCCGACACCTCCTTCCGGCTCCTGGCCGCGCGCATGCCCGAGGCCATCCCCATCCTGGAGATGCGGTTCAGCAAGAAAATCCAGTTCTTGGAGGATGCTCTTGGGTTTGCCGGAGCCAGGAAGTCCCCTCAGGCGGATTTGGGGACGTCCATTTGGCAGGCAGGTGGGTGCCAGGGGGTTCCGGTCTCCAAAGGTTTTTCCAAGGAATATTCCAGAGGTCGTGGTGAGTGAGTCCATGATAAATCCAAGGAATAAACTCCAGGTGATTTCAGAGCCTTTGGCACTGCTGCTTTTCCTGGAGGTAATTCCCAGCTTAACACCCAATAATTAGTATCCAATACTCAATAATTAATATCCAATATCCCTTATCTAATGTCCAGTGTTTAATATCCAATATCCCATATCCAGTATCCAGTGTTTAATATCAAGTGGATTTGGGAGCGTCCATCTGGGGATGCCAGGGGGTGCTGGGCTCCAAAGGTTTTTCCAAGGAATATTCCAGAGGCCATGGTGAATGAGTCCATGATAAACCCAAGGAATAAACTCCAGGTGATTTCAGAGCCTTTGGCACTGCTGCTTTTCCTGGAGTCAATTCCCAGCTGGAAGGGAATATCCAATATTCAATAGCCAATAATTAATACCCAAGAATTACTCTCCAATACCCAATAATAAATATCCAGTGTCCAGTGTTTAATATCCAGTATCCAATGTTTAATATCCAGTATCCAATGTTTAATATCAGGTGGATTTGGGAATGTCCATCTGGTGGTGCCAGGGGGTTTCAGGCTCCAAAGGTTTTCCAAGGATATTCCAGAGGCAAATTGCCCCTGAGTCTATGGTGAGGATGAATTCCAGGAATAAACTCCAGGTGACTTCAGAGCCTTTGGCACTGCTGCTGCTTTTCCTGGAGTTAATTCCCAGCTGGAAGGGAATAGCCAATATTCCATAGCCAATAATTAATACCCAATAATTACTATCCAATACTCAATAACTAATATCCAGTATGCTTTATCTATTATCCAGTATCCAGTGTGTAATATCCAGTATCCAGTGTTTAATATCCCATATCTAGTGTTTAATATCCAATATCCCATACCCAGTATCCAGTGTTTAATACCAGGTGGATTTGGGAGCATCCATGTGGGGATGCCAGGGGGTGCCAGGCTCCAAAGGTTTTTCCAAGGAATATTCCAGAGGCCATGGTGAGTGAGTCCATGATAAACCCAAGGAATAAACTCCAGGTGATTTCAGAGCCTTTGGCACTGCTGCTGCTTTTCCTGGAGTCAATTCCCAGCTGGAAGGGAATATCCAATATTCAATAGCCGATAATTAATACCCAAGAATTACTATCCAATACCCGATAATTAATATCCAGTATCCAGTGTTTAATATCCAGTATCCAATGTTTAATATCCAATATCCCATATCCAGTATCCAGTGTTTAATATCCAATATCCCACATCCAGTATCCAGTGTTTAATATCCAATATCCCACATCCAGTATCCAATGTTTAATATCCAATATCCCAGATCCAGTATCCAATGTTTAATATCCAATATCCCATATCCAGTATCCAATGTTTAATATCAGGTGGATTTGGGAACATCCATCTGGAGGTGACAGGGGACTCCAGGCTCCAAAGGTTTTCCCAAGGAATATTCCAGAGGCAAATGAATTAATGGTGAGGATAAATTCCAGGAATAAACTCCAGGTGGCTTCAGAGCCTTTGACACTGCTACTTTTCCTGGAGTTAATTCCCAGCTGGAAGGGAATATTCAGTAGCCAATAATTAATACCCAGTAATTGCTATCGAATACCCAATAATTAATATCCAGTATTCCTTATCTAATATCCAGTATCCAGTGTTTAATATCCAGTACCCCATATCCAGTATCCAAAGCTCAATATCAGGTGGGTTTGGGAACGTCCATCTGGCAGGCAGGTGGGTGCCAGGGGGTTCCAGGCTCCAAAGGTTTTTCCAAGGAATATTCCAGAAGCAAATTGGCCCTGCAGTGAGTCGTGGTGCATGGATTTATCCATGGTGAGGGTAAATCCAAGGAATAAACTCTAGGTAGCTTCAGAGCCTTTTTTTCTGGAGTTAATTCCCAGCTGGAAGGGAATATTCAGTAGACAATAATTAATACCCAATAATTGCTATCCAATACCCAATAATTAATATCCAGTATTCCTTATCTAATATCCAGTGTTTAATATCCAATATCCCATATCCAGTGTTTAATATCAAGTGGATTTGGGAGCGTCCATCTGGGGGTGCCAGGGGGTTCTGGGCTCCAAAGGTTTTTCCAAGGAGTATTCCAGAGGCCATGGTGAGTGAGTCCATGGTAAATCCAAGGAATAAACTCCAGGTGATTTCAGAGCCTTTGGCATTGCTGCTTTTCCTGGAGTCAATTCCCAGCTGGAAGGGAATATCCAATATACAATAGCCAATAATTAGCACCCAATAATTACTACCCAATACCCAATAATTACTATCCAATAAATAATGAGTATTTAATATCCAATATCCCATATCTAGTAGTCAGCATTCAATATCCAATAGCCAGTATCCAATATTCCATATCCAATATTTAATATCCAGTATCCCCTATCTGACATCTATCATCTAATATTCAGTATCCCATATTTAATATCCCATATCCAAAACTTCATATCTGATATCTAGTATTTAATAATGGATATTCCATGTTCTATATCCAATATCCATTGTTTAATATCCAATACCCAATAATTAATATCCAATAATTAATACCCAGTATTTAATATCCCATATCCAGTAGTCAGTATTCAATATCCAATAGCCAGTATCCCATATCCCATATCCAATATTTAGTATACCATGCCCAACATCTGATATGCAATATTCAGTATCTCATATCCAATATTTCATATCTAATATCCAGTATTTAATATCCAATACCCAATAATTAATATCCAATAATTAATACCCAGTGTTTAATATCCAGTGTCCCATATCTAGTAGTCAGCATTCAATATCCAATATTTAATATCCAGTATCTCATGTCCAACATCTGCTGTTCAATATTCACTATCCCATATTTAATATCCCATATCCAATATTTTATATCTGGTATCCAGTATTTAATAATGGATATTCCATGTTCTATAACCAATGTTTAAGATCCAATATTCCATATCTAATATCCAGTGTTTAATATCCAATACCCAATAATTAATATCAAATAAATAATACTCAGTATTTAATATCCAATATCCCATATCCAGCATCCGATATTCATTATTCAATATCCCATTTCTAATATCCTATATCCAGTATTTCATATCTGGTATTCAGTATTTAATAATGGATATTCCATGTTCTGTATCCAGTGTTTCATATCCAATACCCAATAATTAATACCCAGTATTTAATATCCAATATCCTATATCTAGTGGTCAGCATTCAATATCCAGTATCCAATATTCCATATCCAATATTTAATGTCCAATATCCCATATCCAACATCTCATATTCAATATTCAGTATCCCATATTTAATATCCCATATCCAGTATTTCATATCTGGTATTCAGTATTTAATAATGGATATTCCATGTTCTATATCCAATATCCAGTGTTTAATATCCAATACCCAATAATTAATACCCAGTATTTAGTAGCCAATAATTAATATCCCATATTCAATATTCAGTATCCCATATTTAATATCCCATATCCAATATTTCATATCTGGTATTCAGTATTTAATAATGGACATTCCATGTTCTATAGCCGGTGTTTAATATCCAATATTTCATATCCAATATCCAGTATTTAATACCCAATAATTAATATCCAGTTATTAACACCCAGTATTTAATATCCAATATCCCATATCAAATATCCCGTATCCCATGTCCAATATCCCATATCAAATATACCATATCTGGTATTCAGTATTTAATAATGGATATTCCATGTTCTATAGCCAGTGTTTAATATCCCATATCCAATATCCTGTGTTTAATAGCCATTACCCAATAAATAATATCCAGTAATTAATATCCAGTATTTATTAGCCAGTATCCCATATCCAGTAGTCAATATTCAATATCCAGTGTGTAATATCCAATATTCCACAGTCAGTGTTTAATATCCCATATCCAATATCCTGTATTTAATATCTCACATCCTGTTTCCAATATTTCATATCCAATAATTAATATCCCACATCCCATGTCAAATATCCCATATATATCCAATATTCCATATCCAGTATCCCATATCTAATATTTAATATCCAATATCCCATATCCAATATTTATATTAAACCTTTAATATTAAATATTCCCTTAAATCCTGAACACTTTCCCCAAATATCCAGGAATCTTGAATTAAAACATGGGATAAACCTGATTTTCCCATATTAACTCCAGGATTTTGATATTAGACAAATCCAGGTGTGGGAATTCCAGAGATTTTGAAATAATTTAAAGAAAACTTTGGAGCCCGAAAATTCCCAACAAGAAAATTGACATTTTTTGCTATTAATCCTAAAATTCCAGGATGGATTTTTTTAGCCCAGCCTTGGAATTTTCAACAGCTTGGAATTTATTCTTCCCAACATCCCTGAATCCTTTTTTATCCTAATTTTTAATCCTAAAAGAGCAAAGAAAAGATGGATCCAGAACCAAAAACAACTGGAAAATTGGGATAAATTCATAAATCCACCAATTTCTGGTTGGAATCCCAGCAGGGAAGGGGAATATCCTGATTTTGAGGAATATTCCAGCTTGGAAAAGCTGCTGGATTTTTAAGGAGGTAAATTCTGGCCTCTGAAATTTCCTGTTATCCCCAAAAATTCCCAATTCCTGAGGGAATTCCAGGAAATAATTGGATCTCCAGCCCTTTTCCAGAGGTTTTCCTGCTGTTTTCCAGCTGGATTTTGTTCTCCTTCCCTGGTTAATTTAGAAAACTTTGGGAAGCAGAGGGGAGCTGATGGAAATCCTGATTTTTCCAGGTTTTTTTGTGTTTTCCTTGGATTTGTCACCGTTCCCATTCTGTCACAGGGTGGCGCTCACGGACTGTGTGGGAGCCTTTGGGATTTTTCCATAGAAAACTGATTTTTTTCCTTATTTTTTTCTTCTTTTTTTCCCTTTTTCTCAAATCAGGAGGGGAAAAAAATTAGTTTTTTCTGTTCCCCCCTGTGTGTTTTCCAATAGGAAATTGATCCAAGGATTTTTGGGATAAATATCCCAGCAGGGCATGGAAATCTCTGGGAAAATCCTGAATTTTCCCTCAAAACTGCCACAATCCTTGCATCTTTTGTTTACACCAACCCTGCCTTCAGTTTATGCCTAAATTTATAGAAATTCCCAAAAAAGTCCATTTTGGATTCATTCCATGTGGAAAAGGAATTTAGGGAATTATTTTTATCCAATACTTACTGGCTATTTTTATTTTTTAAATATTATTAATTATTTATTAATTCATTAGTATTGTAATTTAATTTTTTTTTCTGGAGTATTTTTTTTTTTATTCTGGAATAATTTTTTTTCTGGAATTTTTTAAGCTACTTTACACTTTTTTTTGGGGATAAACATTGAAATTTTGAAACAGCTTTGATCCAATTTTATCCCAAAGATTGGCTGAGAATTCCCATGAATTCCCACATTCCAAATGATCCTGTTTTCCAGAGGCTCCCTTAATAAGAAATAAAAATTAGAAAATAATTATTTAAAAAAGAAAATAAAATAAGTAACATAAAAATAAAAATAAGCATAAAATAACAGAACATAAATAAAAAAGGCTCCCTAAATAAGAAATGAAATTTAAAAAATACTTATTTAAAAAGGAAAATAACATAAAATAACATAAATAGCATAAAAATAAATAAAGATAAAATAACAAAACATAAATAAAAAAGGCTCCCTAAATAAGTAATGAAATTTAAAAAATAATTATTTAAGAAAGAAAATGACATAAAATAACATAAATAGCGTAAAAATAAAATAAATATAAAATAACAAAGCATAAATAACATGAAGTAAAATAAAATGAAGAAAAAAATAAAAGACACAAAAAAAAAATTTTAAAAAAGGAGAAAAATAAAGAGAAATTACAAGGAGTATACTTTGAATATCCCCAGAAAACCAGAATTTAATGGGAAAAATTGGATCCTGGGCACTCCCAAATTCCCATGGAGCAAAGCACAGCCCGAGCGCTTTGATCCCAGAATTCCAGCACGATCCTGAAGGATTCCACCAGCACCAATTCCGTTCTCCCGAGCTCCCCTTGGACATTCCCAGGGATTCCCCAATTCTCTGGGAATTCCCGAAGCTCCCCCTCCTTTCCAGGCAGGAATTTTTCCCTAATGTGGAATTTCTCTGGCAGCCACGGGATTCCTGGGGGCCGCGGCGAGTCCCGAAGGGCCGCGCAAGGAGCAGGTGCAGCTGCAGAAGGTGTCCCAGGAGGAGGCCAGGGAGCTCCGGCAGGTAAAAATGGGGATGGAATTTGCCAGAATTAATTCCCAGATTGATCAGGTTGGGAGAGACCTTCAAAATCATCGAGTCCAACCCAGCCCCAACAGCTCAACCAAACCCTGGCACCCAGTGCCACATCCAGGCTTTGTTAAACACACCCAGGGATGGGGACTGCACCACCTCCCCGGGCAGCCATTCCAGAACTTTATCACTCTGTTACTCTATTTTTTTAATCATTATTTTTAAATTTGATTTATTTTTAAATTTATTTTTAAATTTGAATTATTTTTAAATGTATTTGACTTGATTGTAATTTATTTTTATTTTACTTATATTATTTGCGTTGTTTATTTTATTTTTTTTAAATAGAATTGTTTGAAATTTTTTATTTTTATTACTTTTAAATTGTATTTATTTGATTTTCATTTTTTATTTTATTTATAAATTATTAAATTGTTAAATTATTTAAATATTATTTCTTATTTATTAATTTAATCTTTAGTAATTTGAAGTCATTTATTATTCACTTAGTATTTATTTAAATATTTTTATTATTTATTACTTGAATTCTTGAATTGTTTTATGTTTTAAAATTTTATTATTTGACTTTTTATTCCTTCTTTTACACTTAATTTCTTCGATTTTATTTCATTTTAATTGATTTCATTTTATTTCTTTCTAATGGGAAGAATATCCTGCCAGAGGGCAGGGCTGGATGGGAGATTGGGAATTGGGAATTCCTGGCTGGGATGGAATTCCCAGAGCAGCTGTGGCTGCCCCTGCATCCCTGGAATGTCCAAGGCCAGGCTGGATCCTCGTGGGATGGTGGGAGGTGTCCCTGCTTGGAACTGGAGGATCCTTAAGATCCTTTCCCACCCAAATTCTGGGATTCTGGGATGCCAGTCCATGAATTATCCCATTCCTCCCAAGGCCCAAATTCTGGGATGTCAGTCCATGAATATCCCATTGCTCCCAAGCCCCAAATTGTGGGATTGTGGGATATCAGTCCATGAATTATCCCACTGCTCCCAAGCCGCAAATTCTGATCTGTCAATCCATGAATTATCCCACTGCTCCCAAGCCGCAAATTCTGATCTGTCAATCCATGAATTATCCCACTGCTCCCAAGCCGCAAATTCTGATCTGTCAATCCATGAATTATCCCACTGCTCCCAAGCCCCCGAATTCTGGGATGTCAATCCATGAATTATCCCATTGCTCCCAAGCCGCAAATTCTGATCTGTCAATCCATGAATTATCCCATTGCTCCCAAGCCCCAAATTCTGATCTGTCAATCCATGAATTATCCCATTGCTCCCAAGCCCCCGAATTCTGGGATGTCATCCATGAATTATCCCATTGCTCCCAAGCCCCCAAATTTTGGGATGTCAGTCCATGAATTATCCCATTGCTCCTAAGCCCCCAAATTTTGGGATTCTACGATATCAGTCCATGAATTATCCGATTGCTCCTAAATTCTGGGATATCTGTCCCTGAATTATCCCATTGCTCCCAAGCCCCAAATTCTGGATTCTGGAATGTCATCCATGAATTATCCCATTGCTCCCAAGCCCCCAAATTCTGGGATATCAGTCCATGAATATCCCATTGCTCCTAAGCCCCCAAATTTTGGGATTCTGGGATGTCATCCATGAATTATCCCATTGCTCCCAAGCCCCCAAATTCTGGGATTCTGGGATATCAGTCCATGAATTATCCCATTGCTCCCAAGCCCCCAAATTCTGGGATCCTGGGATATCAATCCATGAATTATCCCATTGCTCCCAAGCCCTCAAATTCCTGGATTGTGGGATGTCAGTCCGTGAATTTTCTTATTACTCCCAGGCCCCCAAATTTTGGGATGTCAGTCCATGAATTATCCCATTGCTCCCAAGCCCCAAATTCTGGGATGTCAGTCCATGAATATCCCATTGCTCCTAAGCCCCCAAATTTTGGGATTCTGGGATGTCATCCATGAATTATCCCATTGCTCCCAAGCCCCCAAATTCTGGGATTCTGGGATATCAGTCCATGAATTATCCCATTGCTCCCAAGCCCCCAAATTCTGGGATCCTGGGATATCAATCCATGAATTATCCCATTGCTCCCAAGCCCTCAAATTCCTGGATTGTGGGATGTCAGTCCGTGAATTTTCTTATTACTCCCAGGCCCCCAAATTTTGGGATGTCAGTCCATGAATTATCCCATTGCTCCCAAGCCCCAAATTCTGGGATGTCAGTCCATGAATATCCCATTGCTCCTAAGCCCCCAAATTTTGGGATTCTGGGATGTCATCCATGAATTATCCCATTGCTCCCAAGCCCCCAAATTCTGGGATTCTGGGATATCAGTCCATGAATATCCCATTGCTCCCAAGCCCCCAAATTCTGGGATCCTGGGATATCAATCCATGAATTATCCCATTGCTCCCAAGCCCTCAAATTCCTGGATTGTGGGATGTCAGTCCGTGAATTTTCTTATTACTCCCAGGCCCCCAAATTTTGGGATGTCAGTCCATGAATTACCCCATTGCTCCCAAGCCCCCAAATTCTGGGATATCAGTCCATTAATTATCCCATTGCTCCCAAGCCCCCAAATTCTGGGATTGTGGAATATCAGTCCATGAATATCCCATTGCTCCCAAGCCCCCAAATTCTGGGATCCTGGGATATCAATCCATGAATATCCCACTGTTCCCAAGCCCCCAAATTCTGGGATTCTGGGATATCAGTCCATGAATTATCCCATTGCTCTCAAGCCCCAAATTCTGGGATTCTGGGATGTCATCCATGAATTATCCCATTTCTGCCAAACCCCCAAATTCTGGGATTCTGGGATGTCATCCATGAATTATCCCATTGCTCCCAAACCCCCAAATTCTGGATTCTGGGATGTCATCCATGAATTATCCCATTGCTCCCAAGCCCCAAATTCTGGGATGTCAATCCATGGTTATCCCCTTGCTCCTAAGCCCCAAATTCTGGGATTCTGGGATGTCATCCATGAATATCCCATTGCTCCCTCCCGCCAAATTCTGCGATATCATCCATGAATATCCCATTGCTCCCAAGCCCCCAAATTCTGGGATTCTGGGATATCAATCCATGAATTATCCCATTGCTCCCAAGGTCTCAAATTCCTGGATTGTGGGATGTCAGTCCGTGAATTTTCTTATTACTTCCAGGCCCTCAAATTTTGGGATGCCAGTCCATGAATTATCCCATTGCTCCCAAGCCCCAAATTCTGGGATGTCAGTCCATGAATTATCCCATTGCTCCCAAGCCCCAAATTCTGGGATGTCAGTCCATGAATTATCCCATTGCTCCCGAGCCCCAAATTCTGGGATGTCAGTCCATGAATATCCCATTGCTCCCGAGCCCCAAATTCTGGGATGTCAGTCCATGAATTATCCCATTGCTCCCGAGCCCCAAATTCTGGGATGTCAGTCCATGAATTATCCCACTGTTCCCAAGCCCCCAAATTCTGGGATGTCAGTCCATGAATTATCCCATTGCTCTCAAGCCCCAAATTCTGGGATTCTGGGATGTCAGTCCATGAATTATCCCATTGCTCTCAAGCCCCAAATTCTGGGATTCTGGGATGTCAGTCCATGAATTATCCCATTGCTCCCAAGCCCTCAAATTCCTGGATTGTGGGATGTCAGTCCATGAATATCCCATTTCTCCCAAACCCCCAAATTCTGGGATTCTGGGATGTCATCCATGAATTATCCCATTGCTGCCAAGCCCCAAATTCTGGGATGTCAATCCATGAATATCCATTGCTCCCAAGCCCCAAATTTTGGGATGTCAGTCCATGAATTATCCCATTGCTCCTAAGCCCCCAAATTTTGGGATTCTACGATATCAGTCCATGAATTATCCGATTGCTCCCAAATTCTGGGATATCAGTCCATGAATATCCCATTGCTCCCAAATTCTGGGATATCAGTCCATGAATTATCCCATTGCTCCCAAATTCTGGGATGTCATCCATGAATTATCCCATTGCTCCGGAGCCCTCACCGCGGGCTCTCCGCGTTTCCCTCCGCAGATCCTGAAGAAGCTCAAGGGGCTGGCGCTGGAGACGGAGGCGGAGCTGGAGCGGCAGGACGAGGCGCTGGATTCCATCGGCAGCTCCGTGGATCGCGCCACGCTCACCATCGAGCGGCAGAACCGCAGGATGAGGAAGCTGACGTAGCTTCCCGCCGGAGCGGGAGGGTGGCGGAGCCGGGATGTTCAGGACTGGATTTTCCAGAGACGCTTTGGGAAGGGTTTGGGATGAGGTTTGGAAAATGGCGCTGTTGGGGGTGAGCGCCTGAGAGAAATGAAGCGGTTCCTGGACTTGGATGGTGGTTGGATCTTGGAAAATGGTTGGATCTTGGATAATGGTTGGATCTTGGATAAGGTTTGGATCTTAATGAGATTGGATCTTGGATGATGGTTTGGATCTTGGATGAGGTTTGGATCTTGATGAGATTGGATCTTGGATGAGGTTTGGATCTTGGACAGTGTTTGGATTTTGGATGATGGTTGGATCTTGGATGATGGTTTGGATCTTGGATGAGGTTTGAATTTTGGATGATATTTGGATCTTGATGAGATTGGATCTTGGATGATGGTTTGGATCTTGGATGAGGTTTGGATCTTGATGAGATTGGATCTTGGATAATGGTTGGATCTTGGATAAGGTTTGGATCTTGATGAGATTGGATCTTGGATGATGGTTTGGATCTTGCATGAGGTTTGGATCTTGGACAGTGTTTGGATTTTGGATGATGGTTGGATCTTGGATGGTTGGATCTTGGACCATGGTTGGATCTTGGATAATGATTGGATCTTGGATGAGGTTTGCACGTTGGAGGATGGTTGGACCTTGCATAATGATTGGATCTTGGATGGTTGGATCTTGGACCATGATTGGATCTTGGATGGTTGGATCTTAGATGAAGGTTGGACCTTGGATAATGTTTGGATCTTGGTTGAGATTTGCGTGTTGGATGATGGTTGGATCTTTGATGAAGTTTGGATCTTGGACAGTGTTTGGATCTTGGTTCACAGTTGGACCTTGGATGAGATTTCAGTCTTGGACAGTGTTTGGATTTTCGATGATGGTTGGATCTTGGATGGCAGTTGGATCTTGGATGAGGTTTGGATGCTGGATGATGGTTGGATCTTGGAAGAGGTTTGGATCTTGGACAGTGTTTGGAGTTTGGACAATGCTTGGATTTTGGATAATGATTGGATCTTGGATGGTTGGACCTTGGATGAGATTTGGATCTTGGATGAGGTTTGGATTTTGGATGATGGTTGGATCTTGGACCGTGTTTGGATCTTGGACAGTGTTTGGATTTTGGATGACGGTTGGATTTTGGATGATGGTTGGATTTTGGATAATGATTGGATCTTGGATGGTTGGATCTCAGATGAAGGCATTGGATGAAGGTTGGATCTTGGATGAGATTTGGATGTTGAATGATGGTTGGATCTTGGATAAGGATTTGATCTTGGATGGTTGGATCTTGGATGAGGGTTGGACCTTGGATAATGTTTGGACCTTGGATGAGGTTTGCGTGTTGCAGGATGGTTGGATCTTGGATAAGGTTTGGATCGTGGGTAGTGTTTGGACCTTGGATCACAGCTGGACCTTGGATGAGGTTTGGATGAGGATCTTGGACAGTGTTTGGATCTTGGATGATGGCTGGATGTTGGATGATGGTTGGACCTTGGATAATGTTTGGATCTTGGATGATGGTTGGATCTTGGATGAGGTTTGGATCTTCAACAGTGTTTGGATTTTGGATGATGGCTGGATCTTGGATAATGTTTGCATCTTGGATGAGGTTTGCATGTTGGATGATGGATGGATCTTGGATGGTTGGATCTTAGATGAGGGCCTTGGATCACGTTTGGATCTCGGATGATGGTCGGATCTTGGATGAGGTTTGGATCTTGGACAGCGTTTATATCTTGGACGATGGTCGGATCTTGGATGGTTGGATTGTGGATAATGATTGGATTTTGGAGCACGGTTGGATCTTGGATGGTTGGACCTTGGATAACCTTTGGATCTTGGATGAGGTTTGCATGTTGGATGATGAATGGATCTTGGATCGTGGTTGGATTGTGCGTGATGGTGGGATCTTGGATGAGGTTTGGATCTTGAACAGTGTTTGAATTTTGGATGATGGTTGGACCTTGGATCACAATTGGACCTCGGATGAGGTTTGGATCTTGGATGAGGTTTGGATCTTGGATGAGGTTTGGATCTTGGATGAGGTTTGGATTTTGGATGAGGTTTGGATTTTGGATGAGGTTTGGATTTTGGATGAGGTTTGGATCTTGGATGAGGTTTGGATCTTGGATGAGGTTTGGATCTTGGATGAGGTTTGGATTTTGGATGAGGTTTGGATTTTGGATGAGGTTTGGATCTTGGATGAGGTTTGGATCTTGGATGAGGTTTGGAAGCTTTTTTTGGGGGGAAGATCCAAATTTCCAGTCAGGACGAAACAGAACTCGTGGATTCTCCACTGCCAAACCCTGTAAATAGGAAGGGATGTGACAAAACTGACTTAATTCATTAATTCATTAATCAATTCATTAATTACTGTACTTTTTCATTTTGCTGCTTTCCAGCCCATGAATTCCCTCTCCAGCTCTTTCCCTAAAAGCCTTTGGAGCTGATCCTGATTTTTTAATTTATTTGCACTCAGTGGTGATGAAACATTTCAAGGCTTTTCCAGAATTCCTAAAACAAAAAAGGGAATATTTTCAATTAAAGTCTGAAGTTTACACTTGGCTCTGTTGAGAGCAGAGATTCCCCTCTGAAATTTTTGATATTCCGTAGGAAAAATTCCCATTTCGTCAATCCCTGCCTTCTCCAGCTCTTTTATCTCCAAGGAGCTGCCATTAAATATTTATTTTTAAATTATTTTTTTATTTGAATTTAAGTATTTTTGGTGTCGCTTTCAAACCCGACACTTCCAGTGCAATATTTTTGAACAGTGAAGCTTCAAATCCTTGGATTCTGTGGGAATTTTTCCCTTTTTTTTTTTTTTTTTCTGTGGGATTTTTTTCCCATTTTTTTGGAATCCAGCCTAATTTTGGGAGAAAAAGACACCGAACCACGTCGAGGGTGTTGTTTGCAAGGTTTGTATTCCTTCAGCCTAGTTAGGACTGGAGTAAAATTTATTCCAAGTTTTTGCTGGCATGCACTTTATTAGAAAATCCGGTGATAATTCCATATCCATCGATTATTTCCTGGGAATAAAATCCTCCTGGAGTTTCTCCTGATGTTTCCCACCCCAAATCGCTGCTGGTTTACCGTGAGAGGAGAAGGAATGTCCTGCACCTCATTTTTCCATGGATTTCCAAGTGGATTTCGCACCAAATCCGTGTTTGGTGAGGCTGGGATGGGATCTGGGAGTGGGATGAGTCCGACCCAGAATTCCCAGAAGGAAATCTTTAGGATTTGAGCGGTTTTGGGGTGTTCTTTGTGCCATATTTTTTATTGTCGTGTGGTTTTAGCACCGACTCCGTATTTTGTGGGTTGTGTTGAGTCCAACATATCCCAAAAAACCTGGAATGTTCCTTGGGAAACCCATCCTGGAGCTGTCCATTGGCTGAATTCCATGTGCCAGAAGGATTTTCCACCTGTAATTCCTTCTTAATTAAATCTCTTGGAATTGTGATTTTGTGATTTTCTCTCCTGTCTTCACTTGGCTGGGAATTAGCAGGAAAAATCCATCGCTGTTTTCCTGGGATTTCGTGGATTCTGTGGGGTTGGGCTTTTAGGGTGGATTTATTTGGGATTAAAAACATGGAAAATATTCCCTGCTGGAAGGTGGCTCTGGATGAGCTTGAAGCTTCCATCCCAAACCAGTCTGGAATTCCATGATCTTCTGGGAAGAGTGGCTGATATTCCAGAGGGGCCTCAAAACCCTGGGAGAATGCGCTGGTGGGATCCTCATGGATTTAAGAAGAAGAAATTCTGCCCTGGGGAGGAGCAATCCCGGGATTTGGGACATGCTGGGAACACTCAAATGGAAAACAGGAGCTGGAGGTGCTGCTGGGTGGAATTCCCAAATGGATTGGGTTGGGATTTTTTAGGATCATCCATCCCCATCCCCAGGGATTCCCACTATCCCAGGTTGCTCCAAGCCCCTTTTTCCATGGGAGCTGGATTGGAATGGGATCATCCTTAAGATCCCTTCCATCCCAAACCAGTCTGGGATTCTCTGGGATTCTTTGTGCCGTGTTCCCGACTCCTTCTGTGGGCTGTAGATCCCAAACTCTGGAATTTCAAGCTGGTGTGGGATTCCACATAGGGGAATCCCAATATTTGAGGGATTTGAGGGATTCCAAATGGGAATTCCACGTCCCAGGTGCCAAATGTGGGAACAGGATCCAAAATGGAGGTTCCAGGGACTATCCCAGGTTGCTCCAAGCCCTTTTATCCATGAAAGTTGGTTTGGAGTGGGATGATCCTTAAGATCCCTTCATCCCAAACCATTCTGGGATTTTCTGGGATTCTTTGTGCCCTATTCCCAACTCCTTTTGCTGGCTGTAGATCCTAAACTCTTTGGAATCCCTCACCAGCTTGGAATTCCATAGGGGAATCCCAAAATTTGAGGGATTCCAAATGGGAATTCCATGTCCCAGATGCCAAATGTGGGAGCAGGACCCAAAATGGAGGTTCCAGGGACTATCCCAGGTTTTTCCAAGCCCCTTTTCCCTTGAGAGTTGGATTGGAATGGGATGATCCTTAAGATGCCTTCCATCCTAAACCATTCTGGGATTCTTTGTGCCCTATTCCCGAATCCTTTTGCTGGCTGTAGATCCCAAACTCTTTGGAATCCCTCACCAGCTTGAAATTCCATAGGGGAATCCCAAAATTTGAGGGATTTGAGGGATTCCAAACGGGAATTCCACGTCCCAGGTGCCAAATGTGGGAACAGGACCCAAAATGGAGGTTCAGGAGACCTCAGGGACGGCTCCCTCTGGAACGACCTCTCCTTCCCCATGGATCACCAGAGGAGATTCCTGGATTTGGGAATTCCTCCTTCCCCACATCCTCTCCAGAGCCTTCCCAGCTCCCGGAGGTGAGTCAGGCTTGGGAAACGCTTCCCAAAAAGAGAGGAAACATCTCGGGAGCCGCCCCTGTTGTATCCTCAGCGTGAAACCCTCGATGCCGATGCCAGCTGCTCTCCGTGGCCTTAGGGCTGCCTGGTGTTCCACACTTTTTTTTTTTTTTTTTTTTTTTTAATGGATTTTGCTGCTTCCAAGCATAGCAAATTCCCAGAGTGAGAAAAATCCCGTTCCGGCTTGGGTTTGGCTGCTCTCGGGCGGTTTGGCCTCGTTTTTGTGCTTTATTGCAGCAAATGCCCACGGGATGTTTTTTGGGAGAGCCATTAGGGACGGAGGGATGAAAGGGGGGGCCAGGAAAAAAAAAAAAAATTGGAAAAAACTCCTGAAATGCATCTTTTTCTACATTTCCATAAAAAAAAAAAAGTTAGGAAGACTTGAGCTCATAAACACCCCTGGAGAATGGGGTGAGGTTTTTCCCCCCCTCTCTCCTTGGTTGTAACCATGGTTGGGTTTGTTTTTTTTTTTTAAATCCATGGAAATAATGGGGAAAAAAATCGTGTTCCAATTTACAAGGAAATACCTTGGGCCAAATTCCTTTAAAAAAACTGAGAAGAAAAGAAAAAAGGGAAGGGAAGGGAAGGGAAGGGGCAAGGAAGAAGGCTGGTGGGAATTGTGGATGGATAAGGCTGGATCAGCTGGACAGGGGAGGTGGGAATAGGAGCATGGATTTGGAATTCAAATGTTCTCCTGTTTGTGGGGATGAGAGGATTCCCTCATTCCATGATGAGGAGGTTT